GCAGCAACAGCTCCCAGCAAAGTGTGCTTCTCTGAAACTGAAGAAGCCAGCAAAACTGTCCCTGCCCTCCCATTTTCTTGCCCCCTTCCCCCCTGGCCCCAGCCAGACTCTTGTGTTTCTCGAGCACCCACCAAGTACCAGCAGTCAGGTTTTCCCCGCAACTAATGGGTAAAAATTCCACAGGTGAGTCAGAACTAAAAGGACACCCAACCCCCAACACTCCGTTTCAAGGTCTAGGACTTGGGAGCTCTTCCTCCTGGACTCCTGTGTAACTTCTCAGACCCTTGCAATACTTCACTCCTAATAAAAGAGGGAAAAATAGGATGTCTTCAGTTTCAATTATATCAAATAGGTTGTCCCTCTACAGCTTCATGGAAGAAACCCAGATTCCCTGGGACCAGCCAGGTCCCCTGCCTAGGCCCCATCTAGCTGGGGCTCCAGGAAGTGCTCTGCTATTTTTAGGTCAGCTTACTGCGACTCAGTCTCCTACTTTTATTATTCTTCGTTAGTCTGTTTGTTTTAAACAACTAGTTTCACCTTTCTGCTTGAAGCCATGCGTGGTCAACAGATGGCGGCAGCATGAGTATCATTAGTCATCCCTTGTGTGACTTTGAGTTGGACACTAGTGAGAACCTGAGTGGGCTGGCAAGGTCAAGTCCTGCAGAATCACCTCTCAGGGTGGCTTACACAGCCTCCACTTCCACCACAAATCTTGAGGCACTTGATGGCCAGTGCTTTTTCTGCATTTATGAAAAGTGGATGAAACTAATGTGCAGCAACACCTGAAGCCCTTCCAATATTTGTTATTTCCGCTGTTCCTGGGTACAGCTATGGACTAGTGGGGTGGGGGAAATTGTAACAGAGCAATTACCTCAGAGATTAAAATCTTAATGGGATTTTTCTACCAACCAAAATTCTCCTGGGAATCTGACTGAAATTGTCTAAGAGGCACTGATCATGAGGTAGGACAGGCTATTTGAGTCACTGGGATCTCCCCAGGCTTGCCTTGGGAAGGGTCAATCCCATGGTAAAGAATTGGTCTCCTGCTTCTTCCCAAAGAAGAGACTTCTCTTGAAGAGCAGCCAGGGCTTGCTCTAGTAGAAATGTCTCTTCTGGGAGCCCAGGGAGAGGAGATGCCAATAGTTCCCTCACCTCTAACCAAGATCTAACTGTGGGTGAAGATACTGGTTGGGACCCAGAACAAGGCTCTGGGGTAAGCAGGAGAGCTGGGCTCTGGGAGAAGGACACCTGTGATGAATTCATCCCTGATTTGGCATTCAGAGTACTTTCAAAAAATTATATCTATGTCTATATCTATATCTATATCTATATCTATATCTATATCTATATCTATATCTATATCTATATCTATATCTATATCTTTATCTTTATCTATATCTATCCATATATATATATACATATACATATACATATACATATACATATACATCATTCAGTTAGACTGAGAGTAACTGCTGGGTCCTTGCCCACACTGAGCTCTGGACCATTTAGGTCCTGCGAGTGCTGCTAGCTTAAGAATAAAGCAAAGTGTGCTGGCAAATCTAGGTCACTGTCCTGCAGAAGAAGGGATTTTAGACAGTGGGAAAGTGCCTCCCTTGCCCTTGGCACCTAACTGGCCATGTCCCACCTCCTGTCCAAGGATGTCAGAGGACATATTGCTCAAAATAAAAATAAGACACTTGGGAAATGGTTTTGCCTTCTCCATCACCTGTGGCTGCACAACTTCACTGTCACAACTCTCAGGGACGTGCAATGAAGGCTGTGCAAAGCTTTCTTGCCTCCCTACTATCTTGTGTGTGTTTTCGGAGAGCTGGCACAGTGTGAGCAGTCCCCAGTGGGGAGAAGGGCATAAATCAGAGCTGGTCTGTGGCTTTATTCTGTAAGAAAAAAAGAAAATAGAAAAAAAGGAAGTCTTAAGGGTGCCAATGAACCAGGTACAAAGGCAAAGAAAATACAATTTGTAATTACACCTTGAAAAATTGAACGTGAGGAATATCAAAGATTTCATTAACGCAAATTTAGGTGATGGAGCAGTGCCAGAGGAGCCCAAACATTGTGATTAAATATACTCAGTGAGAACCTCCAAAAAGAAACATCTCTTAAATAAGGACTGATTTTTTATTGGGGAAGTGTGATGCTATTTTTTCACTCAAACTGGACAAAACCATCACTTTTCAGTTTTGTAGCCCTGGAGCATATCCTCTGATTGGTCTTTCTGTACCATCATCTCTTAGGAAAGCAGCAGAGATGAAAATACTTGAAGTGCATTTTCATGGCAGGCGAGCAAAGCTGGGTTAGGAAAGTGAGAGTGTGGGACCAGTGCTTGGGATGGGTCTAGGTGTCACCCCTGTCCCTTCCCTCCCCAACACAGCAAGGCTCTTGTCATCCAGAAACCTCTTTTCTGGATGGTGAGGTTGGGCCCCCACCCAGCTCCCTCAGCCTCTCCTGGTGCTTCACACCCTTCCCCAGCACTGTTCCCTTCTCTGGACACACTACAGGAGCTCAGTGTCTTTCTTGTGCCATCCTGAAGCCATGGTGCCCCCTGTCCCAAATCCTCTGCCACCATCCCAGCAGTAAGGGCAGGTGCTCCTGTCACTATGCCAGCCCTACCAGTGACACAGCTCCTCTCCCAACAGGATTTGATGTGTTATTTAAGAAAATGCAGTGATTTTAAAGGCTTTTGTTTTGAAGTGGATAGGTGTGAAGGACTGGCTTAGCTGATGGTTGTACGAACAAACAAGACTGCAGAGTTTCCTAATCAGCACAACCCTACAGGCAAACAATGTGCTCTTCACCAAAACCAAGTGAGAACAGACCAGTATGGAATGTGAAAGGGTGCTCTGCAAATCGTGGGCAAGACGGAACCAGGAGGCAGGTCTTCCCATTCTCTACACCGTACTGCTGCTTCTTAGCCTACATTTACTCAAATACTTTCCTTGCAGGAATCTACTTGTCAATAAATGTGCTATTTTTTCCATGTATATTTAAATGAAATCTGGTGTTTCTGAGGTAGACAACAAGCTCTTGGAAATGCAGATCCCAACTTAGAAAGCAGCCTCATTTTTACAGATTTCTCTAAAGATTGTGCAGGTTAAAACCCGAATGAGCAGTTTTGATGGCAATACAGAGCAGCAGCACCCTTCTCCTGCCAGCAGCAGAGCCTTCCCTGAGTGCTGCAAGGCCATCAGCAACCCCTCAGTTCCATGCCATGAGCAATGACACCTTCCACTAGAGAAGACTACTCCAAGCATAGCCTACCTGGCCTTAGACATTTCCAAGGATGAGGTATCCAAAACTTCTCTGAGCATCCTGTGCCAGTGCCTGTTTTCTGCAGAGGAAATGTTTTATTAAGACAGGAGTTAGTGGTGGATATTTGGTGTGATTCTTGGAAGCTGGAGCTGAGAAGACATGCCAGCAGCATGGGTCACATTGCTTGAAGGTGTGGAGATGGTGCCAGGCTGTTTAAATACAGACCTTGAGATACTGGTAGCCAGGAAAAATCTTTGGCTTTTGCCACCAAGAACTCAAGGCAAATTAATACCATCAGCCATTCTTGAGAGCTTGAAGCAGAGCTTACATGCAAAGAGTTCATGTCCTCTGAAAGATGAACTTTATAAGGGGGCCATATGTGAAGATAGACAGATCAGTGTTTTTAATCTTCTTTTGACAAGGAAAATCAAGTCAGGGAAAATTAAGAAATAATGAAAGGATGTGTTCATTTAAAATGCAATGTCATCTTTTTTGTCAAGGAATTTCCTTTTTATTTTAATTCTCATTTTAAATTGCATTATGACATAAAGGTAAACAGTGATCCATCGATCTTCACTTCTCCCTGCCTGTGCAAAAAAGCCAAACCTAAGCATGCTGTGTTTTGCTGCATGTGCTCTCATGGGATTTTGAGGGCAGGAAGGGTAATTTTGGTGCATCCAATTCAGGCAATCACGTTTTACTCCCTGCACCAATCAAATTATTTAAGCCCACTTTTCCCTCTCTGGAGGCTTGTGTGTCCAAGGCAGAAGAGCTGGGAAGGCAGCCAGAGTGAGGATTTCAGGTGAGTCTGAGGAAGAGGCTGTATTGAGGCTGGCGAATTTCCCACAAGTTGTCACAGAGACCTGAGTCTGCTCAATGCCCTTGGGGGGGAAAAAAGGTCCATGGCAATTATATTTCCTTAATTTATTTTAACTGACAGTAATGGATAATATTCCCTAGAAGAAATTTCAAAATTTGGAGAAAAGAAAATTTTTGCCCAAGTGACTTAGAATTCTGGAATGGTTTGGGTTGAAAGGGACCTTAAGGCTCATCCTCTTCCAGTTCCTGCCATGGGAAGGGAAATGTTCCACTAACCCAGGTTGCTTCAAGCCCCATCTAACCTGGCCTTGTACACTTCCATGGGTGTGGCAGCCACTGCCCCACTGGGAACACTTGCCCTTCAGGAAGGACCTCTCACCATTCCCCAGGGCAGTGCTGGACACTGAATTCAGTGTCTGAAGGATGTGATGCAGTGACATCCTGGGATGCCTGATGGATCCTGAAATCACCACCTAAGTTTCAGAAATGCTCCTTTTATTTACAAATCAAAAATATTTTACAGATCCTCCAGCTGAAGAAAAAATGATCTTTCTAAAGGCTTGTCAATCTTTTCTGCCTTTTTGCTTTTACCTTCCCTATCTTCTTTTCCCTTGCTACTGTCTCAATAGCTGGGGTAGATATGTAGGAGACAAGGTGGGTTGGGCAATTTGTCACCAGCATTTTTATCCTCAAATGCCACCTTTAGGAAATACCTGCCCAAAACTGAACATCTCTTAGCATAGTTGGGACATGGGTAGCACATGGTGTTGACACAAGCCAGGGAGGGGTGTAATAGCTGTGCAGCTGTGGAGGGACTGGTTGGCCCATGGCTCGTTTCTGCCGTGGTGTTGCAGGGCTCAGTAGGTCCTGCTAAATTCCCCTTCACCCTTTTCCTTGTCCTCTCCCTCCAGAACGGGCCCGGGATTACCTGCACAAGACTGGACGCTTCATTGTCATTGGTGGCATCGTCTCACCTGTGCACGACTCCTATGGGAAAACGGTGGGTCATCCCCATTTCCTCTTTCTGCCTCCTGTGTGAGATGGCATCTCTGAAATTAGGGCTGTGAACTGGGCAGCACAGCCTGACCTGTGGTTCCTTCACAGCCCTCTTCTGCCTGGGGCAGCTCCTGACCTTGGGAAAGTCTTGGAGAGAGGGGAGAAGATGAAACCTCTTGCTCTTCAGATAAACACTGCAGTGAGACCCTAAACCGAGCCAAAGTACTAGACAGCAAAGAGAAACATTCCCACCCAAAACAGTGGTGGTGATACCTTAAATGAGGGTTGGTGGGGGGGTTGAATTATTTCAAAGCCAATTGAGTTTTTTTGGAGGATATTGAAATTATGCAAATAAGTGACCTTTAGAGTCACTTGTCAAATTAGATGTGGTGAGCTCACTTATCTCCTGAAAGCTGGAGGAATTTCATCAAGAAACCACCCCCTCAGATTGGCCCCGTTGGAGCACAGTTCTGGGAGCGGTAGTGCTGAGCTCTCCACCCAAGAACGTCGCCAGAGTTGAGCCCAACAGAGCCTCCTCCCCTCCAGCAAACAGGAGCTTAAATAAACTTCTGTGGGCTGGAAGGAATCCTTCTGGCCTGTCTCACATGAGTGAACCTGATGTTCTTCCTCAGAAAGGTTTGCAAGCCCAGGCTGATCAGAGCACAAGGCCTCATAACTGTTCTTCCTTTACCTTCTCATGCAGGGGCTAGTTTCTAGCCGGCACCGCTTGACCATGTGCCAGCTGGCTGTGCAGTCCTCCGACTGGATCAGGTGGGTGGCAGAGCTGGCACCTGCCATGGCACCAGCAACCCCTGCCCTTTCCCTGCACCATGGGGGAAAAGTCCTGCATGCAGAGTAGAGATGCCACCAGCTGGTAGAGCTCCAGGATTAATTTTCTTCCAGCCCAAGCTTGACTAAAAATAAGAGACCTCTTCCCCTCCCAATCTGGCAGAGAACAGACAAGGAGGGTTACACTACCCTTCAAGGGAGCCCTCAAGATCTGGGAAGTCGTATGAGCCCCTCACTAAGCCTGTGGTGTCTGGGTGATACCCAAAGTCACTTAGCTCACTCCAGCCTTGTGCACCTTCCCTGTCCACATATGTAGCACCAGCCTGCAGATTTTCACCTTCCCAGCACTGCCATGTGGCACATGGTGGTTGAAGTGACACCAGAAGCATCTTGGGCTGCCCTCAGAAAGAGGGTTATGGCACACATAGTCGCATCCAAGCCAAACAAAAGCTGGTTAGTTGGGTGCCAAGCACGGAGAGATGCCCAGACACACATTCAGGTCTCCAGAGCTGTAAGGGATGCTGTGTAGAAGAGCTGGAGGAAGGACGTGGCCCATGCTAGGGCTGAGGCATCAGTAATGGCTGCTCATGGCACTGCTGGCCAACCAAGTGGGGAGGAAGTAGCATGGGCAGGAGTGGCCATGAGCGACACTGTTGCCTTGTTCTTCTGGCAGGGTTGATCCCTGGGAGTGCTACCAGGACACCTGGCAGACCACCTGCAGTGTGCTGGAGCACCACCGTGACCTGATGAAGGTGAGGCAGCCCCTACGCCATGGGTGCACCAGGGTGAGGGCATGGGGAGAATGTAGGGGTGGGAGTGCACCCAATCAAAATACAACAGAGATTGACAGTGAGAAAACTTAGAGGAACACAGTGAAATCCTGACCTGGAAGGGGTTAGACCTTATCACAGCTGCTTTGAGGTCTGGGCCCTGGTGGTGGAAGGAAATGGAGCCCTCCAGCTGGAGCCAGCAGCCATCCTGAACCCAGGAACACCAGGAGGGCAGCAGGGCTTAAGGCAGAGTAAAAGCAAGGGTGGGCATAAACCACGTAGTTACACCCCCTTTCCTCCTCCCAAAGGGAGGGAGGAGTGGATGGGCCTCCCAGTTCACCAGCTGAGCCAGAACTACTGTATGAACCTAACAGAGAGATTTTACAGGAAAATTCAGCATCTGGGAAGTCCCCAGGGAATACAACCCCAGGAGGAAAAGTTAGAGGTAGGCCTGAAAGCCAAGGAGGAAGGTGCCTGTGGGTGACCTACACAGGTAGCAGAGCTGCTGGTACTCTCAGATATAGGAAGAAAATTAAAGATAGGAAATGGATGAAAGAGCATTGTACATGGACAACCCAGACAGGAGGCACAGGAGTAGCATTAGCCAGCAGTATGTTCAGTGTATCCTGGGACTGTGGTGTTGAAGCCAGGGAGTTGCTGGTGATACCTTCCTTCTCGTGCAGGGATGGGTGGAGGAGAAGAGGACCTGTTTGCTCCTTGCTAGCCCACACAAAAAAGGTGATACCACCTTAAACACGAGTCATTATCCACAGGGTCCTGAAAGCCCCAGGCCCATTTGGTGAGGTCAGATGGGACTGGGGACCCTGAAGTGAGCTCGGACATACCTGTCATGAAAGATGACCTTGAACCAGGGGTGCAGAGGCTTGTTACAGGGTCAGAAGGATTTTGCGAGGGTGCTGGGGTGAAGACACTGTTCCAACTACATCCTTCCCTGATTACAGAGAGTGACTGGCTGCATCCTCTCCAATGTCAACACACCCTCCATCACCCCTGTGATTGGCCAGCCCCAGAATGAGTCCTCACAAAGCATCTACCAGAACAACAACAACATCTCCAGCAAGCCCACCGCAGGTAGGTGGCAGTGCTGTAGGGAAGAGAGGGATGACTACTTACTGACTACGTCCCACTCAGGGCTGCCAAATATTAGAACATTAGAATAAGGTGATCCATCACCTTATTTTTGGACAGGTGTCTTACGAGTCTTGGTGCATCAGGTCTAGGATGGGGCAAGGGTGTGATGCAAGGGTGTGATGCAAGAGTCAGCATCCAGCACAGCAAGGGCAGAAGCCAAGAACAGCTTAAGATGGCTACGAAATCTCCCTGGACTTCAGCTGGATGATGTCTAGGCAGTGAGACCAGCAAAAGGAAAGGCTACCTGGTACCAAGGGATGAACTGGCAGGAGAGATGATGTAGTGGGATTCCCTATAAGACAAGAGGGATGTGAACCATAAAGGTATTAGCTGAAAAGAGGGAACATTACTTAAATCCCATTAAAATGGATATCTCATGATTTTCTTCATGATTTTAGCTGTATAGCTGGTCCCTTCAAGACACAGGGGAGCGCTCTTGGGAGTTAAGACTGTAAGAAGAGGTGCTGGGAGATGCACACCCAGGCACAAGAGCATTTTGCAGAACCAGGGTGGCTGAAGCACTTGGATGGGTTAATTGCACAACCTCTCTCTCCCATTAATTTTCCTTCTTCCCCTTTAGCAAAAATCTTGGGGAAAGTGGGAGAAAGCCTGAGCCGGATTTGCTGTGTTCGCCCACCCATGGAGAGCTTCACCTTTGTGGGTATGTAGAGGAAAGGTCCAGCTTCACCTCTAGAGATCTGCTCCCCACCCTTCCTCCCTCTTCGAGGCTGAGCATCAGCACCTCTCTTTTGCTGCCCTTTCTCAGATGAAAATGCCAACTTGGGGACAGTGATGAGATATGAAGAAATTGGTGAGTACACAGCCCGTATCCACATTGCTCCCATTCCTTTGGGCCAGCACTGCATGACTTGGGAGCATCTGCATGACATCTCTGGCTGATACAGGATCATCTCAACTTGGTGCCAGCTACTGGGGCTCAGGAATGTAACAGAAACACCTCTAACTGGGCTGAGCCTAATCCTGTTGACAGACAACTGCCTGAAATAAGGGACCATGCAATGGGGACATAGCTCCTGGCACTGACACAGACCTGCCATGGCATCCTGTCCTGAGAGTCCCCTCAGGTGCCATGAAAATTGGCCTCCCATGGTGGTATCACCCCATCCCCACATTCCCTGCAGAGCTTCACACAGCAGGAGAGATTTTGGCTGCCTTACCAGCCATGGTGCTCCTTGTTCTAAAGACTTTTAAGGGTTTTAGCCCTGCCGGACATCACCCAGAGCTCTGCATGGGGAGCTTGTTGGTGGTTTTGAGACTCTTTTCATGTAAAGCCTGGCACTACAGTCATCCTGGCATTAACACCATGCAGAGCCTAAAGGTTTTGGCTACCTGGAAATGCCAAACAAGGAGGCATTTTCCCATGCAGCCACTTCTTCTCACTCCTCCGGGAGTTTTATAGCTTTTGTCTGGCAGCTGTGCAAATAATCTTTATGGGCCTGTCAGAGCAGAAGACTCCTTCCCATAGCACAATTTTCTGGCTGAGCTGCAAAGCCAACCCTCAAAGTTGGGGGAGGGAGGTGGTCCCTGCTCAGCCCCTTGTGCTCCCACCTCTGAGCTTTTCTCCTCTCTTTTCCAGAGCTTCGTATCTTGCTGCTTTGTGGCAGTGACCTGCTGGAGTCCTTCTGCATCCCTGGCCTCTGGAATGAGGCAGATGTGAGTCACCAGTGTCAGGCACCCCTCCATGTTCCTCCTTCTCTGCTTCCCACAGCCAGTGCTCCTGGGAGTCCCAGGTCCCTTGGGATGACAGGAGCAGTGCCCACCATCTCCACTGCCTCCTCCATCCCAACCCTGACTGTCGTCTCCCCTACGCATTTCCACAGGGCTTCTACGGTCCCAAGCCCTGTAGCCTGTTTACTGTTCATGCAGAGGATGTCATCTGGGGTGGCAGGGTAGGCCCATCCTAAGGCATTTCCAAAGGCTCTGCTCTACTCCTTGTCCCTTGGAAGGAGCCAGTATCAACTAGATGCCAGCTCCAGTAGAGTGAGGTATGCAAGTAGGAAATAAGGTATTTATAGGAGTGGTCCAGATGGTGGGAATTAAACATATTATAACCAAATCAACATCTTTCACTGTTGGCCCTTGCTGGAAGAAGTCATATTTTCATGGGAAAACATCAGCTTTGGAGAGGGGCTGGGCTACTGACCCACCAGCTGCTCCTGGCAGTTGGAGCCATGCTGGCTATGAGGCCTCCCCTGATTCCTCACTGAAAACAGTCAGTCAACACAAACCTCCCTCCTAGAACTTCGTAGCCTTCAAAAGTCAGTTACCATATCTTCAATCTCTAACTTTGAAGGCATCAAAGGTATCTCCTTTAAAGGGCTGGAAAAACTGAAATGAGACAAGCCCTGGAGCCCAGGACAAAGGATGCAGAAATGACATCAAAGCACAGGCAGAAGATGCGTTCTTCAGCAGCACCTCCTCATGGGCTCCTACTGGCCAAATTTGCTGACACAAAGCTCTTTTGGACGAATCTGATTTGTCTCAGCTGAGAATGGTGTGAGCACTATGACTGGTCCCCAAGCTTTAGTGAATTTGGCCAAACAACCTTGGAAGAACCATCCTCCCAGACCTCTGTCAGGACTAATGCATTCATCCTGCTCATGAACCCTTCCAGCGAGGCAGAGGTCACATTCACCTTGGGCAACCTCTTCTACCACAAGTTCTCCTCAAAGCCTGCCTTACAACATCTAATAGGATTTAACCCTATGCCTTTTATTTGATCTTCTGCCAACCACTTGCCTTCCTAATTCCATGTTTCTGCCAAAGGCTGTTGCCTCAAAATCACTTGCCATTTCCCTCCAGACCATGGTCCAGTTTTCATGGGGCAGGGTGGGGTTGGCAGACAGTGGCAGGTTTTGCATGGGGTGGCTATAAAGCTCTCCACACTTTGTTTTGCTCCCAGATGGAGGTGATTGTTGGGGAGTTTGGGATCGTGGTGGTGCCCCGGGATGGAGCAGACCCTGAACAAATCATGAACCACTCCTCCATACTGCGCAAGTACAAAGTGAGTGGGTGGATGCACCTGTGGCATGCGAAGGCTTTGAGAGGACTCACAGTCTCTCTTCTCCCAGGGGGACACTTTTGTCGTGGGACACAATGTATCAGGGTCAGGTACTCTCAGCTGATGGGTGGGATGAGCAATGGGTCACCACACAGCAGAGTGGGGAGGCTGGAGGGAAAGATATCTGCTTTCAGGACATCCCTTCACGCCTGTATTCCTCTGCAGAACAACATCCTGGTGGTGAAGGACGACTCAAACCACCCCATGTCAGTTGTCAGCTCCACCAAAAGCAGGTGGGTGAAGCAGGGCTACTCCCACTACAGAGTGGGGAGCAGGGTGCCCCCAGCCAGCCTCTGCATTTGCAGGGGCAGCTGACCCACCCAAATGGGCTCTGACAGCTTTCTCTCTCTCCATGCTCTCAGACTGGCCCTGCAGCATGGGGACGGACATGTCGTGGATTACCTCTGCCAGCCTGTCATTGACTACATCCTCAAGAGCCAGCTCTACATCAATGCATCTGGCTAAGTGCCCGAGATCTTGCAGCGAGACAGCTCTCATGTCCTGCCTGCCTACAGCTCTCCATCACTCTTTTCTCTCTCTCAGTCCTTGTCTCCATTTCTCTCCCCACCCCATGGCCTCCTGCCCATGTCTGCCTCTCACCCCCAGCACCAATGCTCTGTTGTGCAGCCATGTCTAGGGAATGGTTTGGTCTCTTTTTCTGGGGTACTGCCCTGCCCTGTGTGCATGGGGAGGGAGGAAGGGCTGGTCAGGGAGCAACATGCTCCATGTGCTCCAGCATGTCCCTGGGAAATGGTCCCCTTAGTCCATCTTCCCAGCATGCTCAGAGCAGGGGCTGCCTGTTCTGCATCATCTAACACAACTTAAGCTAAATAAATCTGGGTGGATTTTTTTTATTAAGTATCTTTAGTGTGAGCCCTTTGGGCCTCTCAATACAGTGACCAACCAAACCCTGGTTGGCAGCAGGCAGTTACAACACAACCAGCTTGGTGCCCAACAGCAGGGGAACCTCCTCAGGCCAGCCATGAGAAAACCCAGCTAACAAAATCCTCCTATCCCTGAAAAGTCATGGAGAGGGCATTTCTGAAGGGGAGAAGAGACCTTGGTAAGCACTGCGGCCAAAGCATTATGGGGAGAATGTCATGTCTCATCTTCCAGCTGCAAGAACTCAAGCCACTCCCTAGGCAAGTGAAGTTGGTGTGGTGTTCTACTCTTACCCAGTGTCAGAGGCATCCCACACCACCTAGAAAGGGATCTGCCGTTTATGGGGTCAAGAAATTGGACAGAAGATACAGGTGATGAGCCAAAGCCTCTGGTGAGAGTTTGCCCCAAACCCAGATGTGTCCATGTCCATCCTCTACCTTCCGGATCTCCATTTCTGCTCCATCCATCTTCTCCCACCACTCCCACTCTCTTCCTCTCCTTGAAGAGTTCATTAAATGCATGATAACCTTCCCCTCCCAAACCAGCCATGGCTACTTTGCACATTTCTTGGGACAAGCCAGACTCCTGCTCCTGCCTGTGATGCCCCCTGATGCCAGGGATGAACCCTAGTGGAGATGCTTACAGTAAAAGCAGGACAGGTAACGTGGTGTGGAGCAGTTATTGAAGCCTTGTCGAGAGGAGGGTTGCTGGAACAGGGCCTTGTCCTGATGATCACCCCTAGGGCACAAGAACCCTGAACAGCTGATGGGGAAAGTCACAGCCATGAGGAAGGTTTAGCCCTCACCTTCTCTTCTTTCCTCCCTGTAAACTTGTATCACTTTGGGTAGAGTCCTTCTGCTTGTGGCTGAGAGTCCTCCATGGCCTTTCAAGGGAATATGTGACATTTATTTTGTCCCTTAAAAGCCTACAAAGGGTCACAAGTAGCTCTCAGGCAAGCTCCAAAGGTGGTACTTTGTGCTAAATTTGGTGACCTGCTGGGTGCTGCTGGCATCCCTGGAACAGCAAGCTGCTTTGGATAAACAAGGAAACCCACAGGGTCCTTGCAGCAGACAGGATTTTAAGAACACTAGTTCAAGGAGCAGAAGCACAGCCCTTCCCAGAAGGACAGAAGTGATGCAACTGACCCAAAGGCCAGAAGAGGTCTTTCCTTGTCAGGGATTTCCCTCTGCATGGAGACATTTGTTTGGGAACTGTTCTACCTTTGGCAGTGTAACCCCATTTGGCAGCATCAGCTCTGGTATCTCCGGGTGGTTGAGTATGTATCCCATTGGATGAGAAGATACGGATATGCCAAAACAGAGGTGGTGAGTGTGTGTGGGGACTCTGCCCCAGGGAGGCCTTCAGCCAGTCTGAGCTAGTCACCACCACCACCCCACTGAGCTCCCTTAATGGTGACACCTCATTCTGAGACACCCAGTGTATGGCAGCCACTCGCTGGACTCCTCTCTGCCTGCTGTTCTCACATGTTCTGTTTGTCAGTTTCCCTTCCCTCTCTACCCCAACACACAAGTTATCCCAGACAGCAGCCCCCGCCCCTTGTCAGTTGTGCCCTGTGTTTCTTAGCTGCAAACCAGAGAAACAGTGCGTTTTCCCCAAGGAAAGAAAAGGGAAGAAAAAGGAAAGGAAAGGGAAGAAAAAGGAAAGGAAAGGAAAGGAAAGGAAAGGAAAGGAAAGGAAAGGAAAGGAAAGGAAAGGAAAGGAAAGGAAAGGAAAGGAAAGGAAAGGAAAGGAAAGGAAAGG